GTTTGGTGGTAAAATGTCGGCATTCAAGTTAGGTAATTTTTGTTTTTATATTTGTTGACTTTTAATAAATATATTTATTTTATTTTCAAGTTGATTCACTGGATGTTGCGTTGAGATGTCTTCTGGTTGCTTTCTTAGTTGCTGACATTTTAAATTTTGTTTTGTTATCAGGTTTGCTGCAGATTTGGTAAGCGTTTTGAGTTGTATTTTGGATAAATTTAATTTTATTTTATTTGCAGGTTTTTATTTTGTAGGTTTGGTGGTAAATTGTCGGCATTCCAGTTAAGTATTTTTTTGTTTTTATATTTGTTGGCTTTTAATGATTATAATTATTTTATTTTCAAGTTAATTCACTGGGTGTTGCGTTGGGATGACTTCTGGCTGCTTACTTAGTTGCTGACATACATATGTAAATTTATTATGTACATACAGCTAATTTCGTACACCAATATGTGTTTTATTTATTTAATTGGCAGGTTTTGTCTTCAGCTTTGTAATAATTTGTATGTAATTTTGTGTAGTTTATGTTGTTATATTTGTTGGCTCTTTTTTTTTTTTAGGACTTTGGTTGTTTTAGTTTCAGGTTTGCGGCAGATTTGGTAAGTGTTTTAAATTGTATTTTGGCTGAATTTAATTTTATTTTATTTACAGGTTTGGTAATAGAGTGTCAGCAATCAAGTTAGGTAATTTATGTTGTTATATTTGTTGACTTTTAATGAGTATAGTGTTTTATTTTCAGGTTTAAAGAAAATTGGTGTGAAGAAGAAAAAGTGATTTCAGTTGTTTTTACGCCAATTGAAATTTTATTTTATCTGCAGTTTTATTTTTTTTGCTGGTTTGGTGGTAAGGTGTCACATACAAAGGTAAGTATTTATTGTTATATTTGTTGGCTTTTGATGACTGATGTTTGTTTTATTTTCACTGGCTGTTGCGCTTGATGTCTACAACTTGTTTGCGTATTTACTGACATTGATTGTTATGTAAATAGTTATTTTGTACGTATGTATGTATGTATGATGGATTTGGTGGGTAGTTTATTGACTTTTAATGATTTTTTTTTTTTTTTTTGATTTTAATGTTATTTCAAGCGTGAATCTTGCGAAGGCTGTTGCTCCTGATGTCTACTAATTATTTGCGTATTTATTTAAATTAATTTGTTATGTAAATAGTTATTTTATATTTTGTTTTATTTTCAGGTTTTTCTATTTTCAGATTCATGATAAATTTGGTAAGTAGTTTTTGTTGTTATATTTATTGGCTTTTAATGATTTTTTTTTTGATTTTAACTTTATTTATTTACATTTCAGGTGGTAAGGTGTTAATAATCAAGGACCAGCTTAGGATTTGTCGAGCAAAATTGGGTGATTCCATGCATCCTGTTTGACCCTTGTTTCGATGACCATGTATGTTCGCATTTGTCATATGAGTTTCTGATTTAATCCTTTTATTTTTTATTCCACAGGCATTCCAAAAGGTTACCCTTAACGTATTGGAATTGTTGTTGTTGCTGCTGTTATTTGTGTGCATGAATAAATTTGTATTGGCTGGATGTCAATGTTGCCTGTGATATTAACATGAGTCATTTTAGTTGTCTTCTTCCATTTGGCTGCTGTTATCTCTGTCTGCCCTGAGAGGCACGGACTTGTCGTTGGAGGGAAGGCTCTGCACTAGACTGCCTAGTTGACTGATGGCAGCCAGGATGTCACTTATGCTGGCTTCGATCTTGTTCAGCCTTTCTTCAAATCGCTTGCTTTCAGGTTCAGCCGGACCCACTGCCATTGTTTTAGAGGACTGTGAGAGTGCAATCTGCTCCTCTCGCAGTCTATTCTGGAATTTCTCCAGATGGCTGGCGGCTGGGTTGGGATTCATGTCCACGGCTATAGGAGCTATCCGTCCCTTCCCTACTTTATCCTTTTTTTGGCTGGTTGTTTGCTTTCTTTTTTTGATGTGAAAACTTGGTCAGTTCACTTTTTTTTTTTTTTTTTTTAGTGTGACCTGACGCAATCTTTATTAATATTCTTATTACTATCTAGCAACATATAACATTATATCTGACAACATTACAAGTTTTGGCAACATAATTACATAAATATCGATAACATTGTGGTATTTCTTACAATTAATTAAAAATTTTTTTTTTTTTCTTGCTTTATTTTAATTTTATTTTAAAAATTAAGGTCAGGTTAGCCCGCTCGGCCGAGTGGCTGCTGGTCCGGCCACCGAGGATGCGTTGCCTGTGGATTGGCTCAATCGACCGAGTGGCTGCTGGTCCGGCCACCCGGGATGCGTATGGGTCTGGAGGATGTAAGTTTCGTGAAAGCGATGATGCATTTGCTTGCTATCTGTAAAAGATATAAAAACTTTTTGTTTTCTGTTTTATTTTCAGGTTTTGACTTTTGATGTGCGGAGAATTTGGTAAGTAGTTTGAGTTGTATTTTGGCTGAATTTAATTTTATTTTATTTGCAGGTTTATATTTTGTGGGTTTGGTGGTAAATTGTCGGCATTCAAGTTAAGTAATTTTTGTTTTTATATTTGTTGGCTTTTATTGAATATAATTATTTTATTTTCAAGTTGATTCCCTGGATGTTGTGTTGGGATGTCTTCTGGTTGCTTGCTTAGTTGCTGACGTTTTAAATTTTGTTTTATTTTCAGGTTTGCTGCAGATTGGGTAAGTGTTTTGAATTGTATTTTGGCTGAATTTAATTTTATTTTATTTGCAGGTTTTTATTTTGTAGGTTTGGTGGTAAATTGTCGGCATTCAAGTTAAGTAATTTTTGTTTTTATATTTATTGGCTTTTGTTGAATATAATTATTTTATTTTCAAGTTGATTCCCTGGATGTTGCGTTGGGATGTCTTCTGGCTGCCTGCTTAGTTGCTGACATATGTACATTTGTTATGTACATACAGTTAATTTCGTACACCATATGTGTTTTGTTTATTTAATTGGCAGGTTTTGTCTTCAGCTTTGTAATAATTTGTATGTACCTTTGTGTAGTTTATGTTGTTATATCTGTTGTCTTTTTTTTTTTTTGAGGACTTTATTTGTTTTATTTTCAGGTTTGCGGCAGATTTGGTAAGTGTTTTGAATTGTATTTTGACTGATTTTAAATTTTATTTTATTTGCAAGTTTATATTTTATGGGTTTGGTGGTAAAATGTCGGCATTCAAGTTAGGTAATTTTTGTTTTTATATTTGTTGACTTTTAATAAATATATTTATTTTATTTTCAAGTTGATTCAATGGATGTTGCGTTGGGATGTCTTCTGGTTGCTTGCTTGGTTGCTGACGTTTTAAATTTTGTTTTATTTTCAGGTTTGCTGCAGATTTGGTAAGTGTTCTGAGTTGTATTTTGGCTGAATTTAATTTTATTTTATTTGCAGGTTTATATTTTGTAGGTTTGGTGGTAAATTGTCGGCATTCAAGTTAAGTAATTTTTGTTTTTATATTTGTTGGCTTTTATTGAATATAATTATTTTATTTTCAAGTTGATTCCCTGGATGTTGCGTTGGGATGTCTTCTGGCTGCTTGCTTAGTTGCTGACATATGTACATTTGTTATGTACATACAGTTAATTTCGTACACCATATGTGTTTTGTTTATTTAATTGGCAGGTTTTGTCTTCAGCTTTGTAATAATTTGTATGTACCTTTGTGTAGTTTATGTTGGTATATCTGTTGTCTTTTTTTTTTTTGAGGACTTTATTTGTTTTATTTTCAGGTTTGCGGCAGATTTGGTAAGTGTTTTGAATTGTATTTTGACTGATTTTAAATTTTATTTTATTTGCAAGTTTATATTTTATAGGTTTGGTGGTAAAATGTCGGCATTCAAGTTAGGTAATTTTTGTTTTTATATTTGTTGACTTTTAATAAATATATTTATTTTATTTTCAAGTTGATTCACTGGATGTTGCGTTGAGATGTCTTCTGGTTGCTTTCTTAGTTGCTGACATTTTAAATTTTGTTTTGTTATCAGGTTTGCTGCAGATTTGGTAAGCGTTTTGAGTTGTATTTTGGATAAATTTAATTTTATTTTATTTGCAGGTTTTTATTTTGTAGGTTTGGTGGTAAATTGTCGGCATTCCAGTTAAGTATTTTTTTGTTTTTATATTTGTTGGCTTTTAATGATTATAATTATTTTATTTTCAAGTTAATTCACTGGGTGTTGCGTTGGGATGACTTCTGGCTGCTTACTTAGTTGCTGACATACATATGTAAATTTATTATGTACATACAGCTAATTTCGTACACCAATATGTGTTTTATTTATTTAATTGGCAGGTTTTGTCTTCAGCTTTGTAATAATTTGTATGTAATTTTGTGTAGTTTATGTTGTTATATTTGTTGGCTCTTTTTTTTTTTTAGGACTTTGGTTGTTTTAGTTTCAGGTTTGCGGCAGATTTGGTAAGTGTTTTAAATTGTATTTTGGCTGAATTTAATTTTATTTTATTTACAGGTTTGGTAATAGAGTGTCAGCAATCAAGTTAGGTAATTTATGTTGTTATATTTGTTGACTTTTAATGAGTATAGTGTTTTATTTTCAGGTTTAAAGAAAATTGGTGTGAAGAAGAAAAAGTGATTTCAGTTGTTTTTACGCCAATTGAAATTTTATTTTATCTGCAGTTTTATTTTTTTTTGCTGGTTTGGTGGTAAGGTGTCACATACAAAGGTAAGTATTTATTGTTATATTTGTTGGCTTTTGATGACTGATGTTTGTTTTATTTTCACTGGCTGTTGCGCTTGATGTCTACAACTTGTTTGCGTATTTACTGACATTGATTGTTATGTAAATAGTTATTTTGTACGTATGTATGTATGTATGATGGATTTGGTGGGTAGTTTATTGACTTTTAATGATTTTTTTTTTTTTTTTTGATTTTAATGTTATTTCAAGCGTGAATCTTGCGAAGGCTGTTGCTCCTGATGTCTACTAATTATTTGCGTATTTATTTAAATTAATTTGTTATGTAAATAGTTATTTTATATTTTGTTTTATTTTCAGGTTTTTCTATTTTCAGATTCATGATAAATTTGGTAAGTAGTTTTTGTTGTTATATTTATTGGCTTTTAATGATTTTTTTTTTGATTTTAACTTTATTTATTTACATTTCAGGTGGTAAGGTGTTAATAATCAAGGACCAGCTTAGGATTTGTCGAGCAAAATTGGGTGATTCCATGCATCCTGTTTGACCCTTGTTTCGATGACCATGTATGTTCGCATTTGTCATATGAGTTTCTGATTTAATCCTTTTATTTTTTATTCCACAGGCATTCCAAAAGGTTACCCTTAACGTATTGGAATTGTTGTTGTTGCTGCTGTTATTTGTGTGCATGAATAAATTTGTATTGGCTGGATGTCAATGTTGCCTGTGATATTAACATGAGTCATTTTAGTTGTCTTCTTCCATTTGGCTGCTGTTATCTCTGTCTGCCCTGAGAGGCACGGACTTGTCGTTGGAGGGAAGGCTCTGCACTAGACTGCCTAGTTGACTGATGGCAGCCAGGATGTCACTTATGCTGGCTTCGATCTTGTTCAGCCTTTCTTCAAATCGCTTGCTTTCAGGTTCAGCCGGACCCACTGCCATTGTTTTAGAGGACTGTGAGAGTGCAATCTGCTCCTCTCGCAGTCTATTCTGGAATTTCTCCAGATGGCTGGCGGCTGGGTTGGGATTCATGTCCACGGCTATAGGAGCTATCCGTCCCTTCCCTACTTTATCCTTTTTTTGGCTGGTTGTTTGCTTTCTCTTTTCTCTGTTCTTAATCTTGGTAAGCCTTCTCTTGATTTCGGTACTATGGTGGCTGGGCTTGGGTTGGACATTTCTGCCAGAGAAAGGGTTTGTGAAGCCCCTCACTGGTCCACTTCGGCCCTCGTCACAGCCACTCACATCCCTGCGATGGCTACCTGCTGGAAAGTGGGCCACTCGGAATGTTTGAGGACGTTTGGATATCTGCTCCCATGCGCTGGGCCTCCCTAATGCTTGCTTTGTGAGTCTATCATCGTTGATCAGTTTGTTCACCTTGAGCCTGCTTCTGGCCGCTTTAAAGGCTGGACAGCCCTTAAAGCAGCTGACATGTTCCCCGTCGCAGTTTGTGCACTTGGCTGGGGTGTGCCTGGGCTTCGTGCATTCGGTTGAGAGGTGGCCTCTGGCACACTTCATGCATTTGGGCTCGTTCCGGCAATAGTTTCTGGTGTGACCATAGGCCTGGCACCTGTGGCATTGCAGGGGATCCCTGGGTGGCAACTTTTTTTCAAATGCCACTGACTGTCCTCCTAATACATTTATCTTTAGAATTTCATCATGCGAGCCATCCCTTTTCTGCTCAATCTCTAGATCGAACATGTTTATTGGCCTTCCTGTAGCTACATGCTTCATGTTGGCGCAGAATCTGACGACGATGGCCCTTTTTTTTAATTCAGCAGAAATCCACTCATTCGTCGTCGAGTAGTGCAGGTGTCTCAGAATATAACGTGCACCACGCTGACCTTTTGGCTGGTGCGTATGCATTAGCAACTTTTGGTCTTGGAGGAGTTGTGTTATTTTCCTATGGGCGTTCATATCAACGCATTGGATTCTGATACCGTTCCCTGGGGTGCTTTTCGTTTTGAAGCTGTCCACACCCGCTGTATAATTTAGTTGTTCTAGTAGGGGAACTATAGCTTTGACACCAGCTATGTGAATAGAAGGCACTCTCTTGCTCGATGGCACTACCTGCCATGGAGGGAGCTCAGGCTGATCGATATGGTTACTTTCGCTGTCATTGAGATCTTTGCTATGCCTACTCATTGTGGGGAGTGGACAAGGCTGAGCATTTTCGTTTGGCACAGGGACGACGTGTGACACCCCAGTGTCATTACCTTTCTTCTTGGGGGGTGACGTTGATACCCTGTTTGCGTCTGTGGAGTTCTGATTTTTTACCTTCTTGAACTCGGAGGCAAACTTTTTGGCGGCGATGCTTTGGAATTTTGGGGTGTTAAGGTCAAGATCAAGGCCCATTCTCGGTGTGCCAATGGGGGATTTGTCCTCGTCAGTGCTGTCCATGTCCCTATTCAATCTTTTACCGGGGGTAATAACGGGGGCTGGGATGACTGCCGTGTTGAGGGTCCTAGTCGTTGGCATATCCCTGAGCCAATTTTTGACCAAGTCATTGCTATTTTCTAGCTCCGTCAGTGGTGAAGTCTCCAGTTAGTTTGTGTATATTTATGTTATTTATTGGCGTTTAAACTCTAGTTAGTTTGTGTATTATTATGTTATTTATTGGCGTTTAAACTCTAGTTAGTTTGTGTTTATCAGTTAGTTTGTGTTTTTATTGGCGTTTAAAATTAATCACATTTATTCACATTTATTGGGGAGAAGAAAGTTTGTCGGTAGTAGTATTGGCGGTAGTGGTGGTGGGGGGGAAGGGACTTTTTGTCATGTCAGCGGGGGGGGGGCACGGCACAGCACGGCACGGCACACGACAGACAGCACAAAAAGAAAACAGGGCGCAACACAGAAAGAAAACGGAGATGAGATGGCGACACGGCAAAAACGACACGAAAAACGATTTTTGGCACGTCCGACGATCGCGACCTCTCGAGCGGGCAGACGAGATGAGAGTGGCCTGGACGAGGTTCATGGTGGAACACTCATGTGTCCGCCAACTCCCATGCTCTCCACACTCGAGAGACCCGATCGCCGATCGTCATTTACCGGTGCTCTCACCCCCGGTTCCACTTTCACTCACCCCAATATTGAGTGAGATGAAAATGGTCCGAGGGCAGCAGCACCGACAAGTAGGCAATGAAAATTTTATTGGCTGTTTGCTGTATTGGCTGTGTGTGTTGTTGTTGGCAAATGGCCCGTGTCTAATGTTTTCTTTGTGCTTTCTTGTATTGGCTGCTCTGTTGTAAGGGGATGGGATGGGAAGGGGAAAGATGCCTGCTCCCGTATAACCGCCCGGATACTTTATACTTCCGGATCTTACGATCCGGGCGCGTGTAGCTCCGAAGAGACGACCGCATAGCATCTTGTGGGCGGTTGAAATGGCTTTGTTGGGGCGTGTGGCAGAGTGGCGATGGCTGGCAGTGTAAATTTTGTTCCTGCTCAGCCTCATTTTTGGTTTTTATTGGCATTTGAAGTGGGTGGGGGGGTGGGTGTGGAGTTGGCTGGGCATAATTGCCGAAGTTGGCGGCCGATAACACCCTAGCATTGAGAAATGCAATTTAAATTTGAAATGGATTTTTTGTGTGTTATCGGCGCGGTATTTTGCTAATTGGCGTGGTATTTTTTGGGTCATTAATGGCGTTGCCACTTGTCAAATATTGGGGAATGGGTGATAGTTGGGAAAGAAGGAGAAGAAGAAGAAAGGTAAATATGCTAAAATAAATAACTAAAATTAATTAAATTACATTACAGCTAAGGACAATCTATCTACAATTACTACAAATAAGGACTACAAAACTACAGAGATATGTACAAGGTAAAACAAACAATAATTACAATACATTTACACAACAATAAACATACTTAAATATCATTTATTTTTAGCAGGAGGACAACTACAACAAAGCACCGGCCAGCATGGCAAACGCAATGCAGAACATTGCGCCGCATACCGGCCGGCTCCGTTGTCCCCCTGTGCAGGATTAGTGGCACCATCTGGATCTGTAGTGGCGATGGCTGGACTCGAAGATGGCGTGCATCGTGGGCTCTGATTGTGTTGTTGGCGAGCGGCTCTGTTCCGGCCGCCCACGTTGCATCTGTCGCTGGTAGGTGTTGGCTGCTGCAAATAGAGTGGCGCTGGTCCGGCCACCCAACTGCATTGTCGTTGGCATTGGCATCGATATGTGATGCCAACTATTTTTGTTATTGGCCGCATCCAAGTGGCTGCTGGTCCGGCCACCAGGATGCGTTGTCGATTTTAATTGTTGGCCGCATCCAAGTGGCTGCTGGTCCGGCCACCAGGATGCGCTGTCAGTTGGATTGGCCTGGCCTCCTCGGCCACGTTCGTCGTCAGTTTTTAATGGCGTTTTGGATGGCTGCTGGTCCGGCCATCCAGATGAGGTGTTTGTTTTTGGCTTTGGTTTTAATTTTTCTTTATTTGCAGGTGCTTATCGGCGTTTGGATGTTGTTGCTGGCGACCCTTGTCTGGTTGGTGTTGGCGTAAAACAGCAGGTGAGTATTTTGTGTTTTGGCAGTCTTCTTCTCCCTCCTGTTTCTCCTTCTTCTTTTGCAGGATTTGCTGGCGTCTGGCGGCTCAACACCGGGCCATCCCGCCCTCACATAATTGGCATGAGAGACGGGTGCGACCCAGTGGAGCGGCAACAGGCGCCAGCATCTGCGTCGTCGTTTGGAATGGCAGCTGTTGGTTGAAGGTGGCGTGACGTCACGGCCATGGTCAGGCGGCAGCGTCATCAAAAGGGGCCTCCTTTTCCGCCCAGTTGGCAGGAAATTGACAATGATTGTGGCGAGGCAGCTTCTTGGTGATCAGCTCTGTCTGTTTATTGGCAGGTACGTGTGGTTTTTGTGTGTTTTTGCTGTTTTTCGGGTTGGCGTGAATTGACTGTTTTTATTATGTTTTAGTGGCTGTGCTCTGGATCGACGATTGGGCACATCAGCAGGCACCGCCCGATCGCATGCTTTCGCGTGCGCTGGCGATTTGTGCCCTCCATATTTCGCCCAGGCCATCCAGCGCGTCAAATGGATCGTGGTCGGTCCATTGGTCGTCATCCTCGTCGTCAATTGCTGCGCAGTCCATATCGGATTCAGAGTCCGATATGGCTGCGGCGTCATGGTGCGTATTTGGTGCTGGTCTTGGTGATGGCTGTGCGGATGCTGCTGCTGCTGTCTGTAGTGGCGGCACTCCTCCCGTGCTCTCGTCCCTTGCCTGCAGCAGGTTTGTCAATTTCGTCAAGATTGCTTCCAGTTTTTCTTCCAGCTCACTAATTCTTTTTGCATCTCTTTTCAGTTTATGGGCGCAGCTGCCATCGCACTGGGCTTCTGGCCGCTGCTGTTGCTGGTGTTGGCGTGGCGTCGGAGCACGATTTGGGATCGGCTGCATCGGCTGGACCCTCCGGTATTGGCGCCCCTCGGCCAGTGGCTGGGGATGTTGGTCGCGATGCTGTAGCTGCTGCCGATGCTGCCGACCCAGACCGTGCTGGCGTTGCTGCTGCGGCTGTGTGTGGAGTGGCTGTGTGGGTGGCTGTTGCTGCTGCAACTGTCGCTGTAGTGGCTGCTGGTGGCGTTGTGCTGGCTGTTGCTGCTGGGTTGGCTGCTGAATTGGCTGTGGCTGCTGCCGTAGTGGCTGAGGCTGCTGCTGCTGCCGTCGATTCTCCTCCTCCCTGGCGACCCTGTGGGCCAGGAGCCGCTGCCTGGCTGCCTTGTAGGCGCTGCAGCCCTTGTAG